TCCGAGAAACCTACAGAGCCAGATTTTGCAGTGAGGCTGTGAGAAATGTATCATAAATAAATAAATATTTATGAAACGTCGGAGCGGATCACGTACAATACCATTTTACAAAATGAGATATATTACTTCACTGATGTAATATATCATCATCATATTGTTATAGCATATATCTAAAACTATTCCCAAGATCCTCACAAAGCCAGTTTTTGCAATCGGGCTGTCTAACTTCTATTATAAATAAATAAAGATGCATCAAGCGTCAAAGTGGATCACGCGAATACAATTTCACAAGAAGAGATATTCCACCTTGTTGGCATAATATATGTAACCGCCGAATTGATATGGAATATTCCTTGAACTATTATCGAGGTCCTTACAGAGCCAGATTTTACATTCCGGCCGTCAAAAATTTATCATATATTAATAAAGCGTGTGTCGTACGAAACATCGCAGCGAGTCCCGCGAAATACCATCTTACAAGAAAAAATATTTTGCCTCGTTGCTGTCATATAACAGCACCAAATTGTTATAATCTATTCCTCGATCTATCCCCGAGGTCTTTACAAAGCCAGATTTCGCAATCAGGCCGCCTAACATTTATCGTATATAAAAGACTGTACCAGGCATTGCAGTATGTCACGTACAATTTTGGAACATGAGAAATATTGTCTCGTTAATGTAATATATCACCATCAAATTGTTCGGCTGTATTCCTTGTATTATTTCTAACGTCACTATAAAGCAGGGTTTTGATTATTAACACATATATATATTATAAGCGACTGTACGGGACAACAACAGGTACGGGACAACAACAGGTAACTGTTAACTGTTAACTCCTACAAGTAACTGTAGGAACCATTAAAATTGTTGTAATATTAGAAGTTTATTAATGAATTTATTTTTATTTCTTATATTTCAGGACCGATTTTGTAAATATGGTGTATATATAGGGTGCTAAATTTCAAACGTAACAGGTAAGAAATCTAGAAATCTGTGAAAGATATTAAAAAAAGCTAAAACACGTGTTCCATGATTTCGAAGGGGAAAGAGAATGGCATTATTATTCTTTTATTTGGAAGGCATTTTCAAAGTTGGTTGAAGATCAACTTAATTTTTTTAAGTTGAAAGCCTAATTTTTTATTATATCTTCTTTTTCTACCAATTAATTTGAATAACTTTTGTCTGAAACATTTTTTTATTTGCCTAATATTTTTTAGAAATATTTAAGGGAAACTTGGTAACTTTTTCAACATTTAACTTACGATATCTCGCTAACTATTCGTCGACAGAAAAAATAGTATTAGACTTTTTTACTTTATTTACTATCAAGAATATATTACTATAATCAAGAATATATTACTATAATAATGTCCTAGCTTTTCTTAATGTAATAATTCTGAAATTTCCAAAAGTCTATAAGTTAACAAAAGTTAGGGCACTATTATAACAATATATTCTTGATAGTAAATAAAGTAAAAAAGTCTAATACTATTTTTTCTTTCGACGAATAGTTAGCGACCCTAATAGCAATATTTCAGCAGACTGACGGCAAACTGACGGCAGAATGAATGAGAGGTTTACAGCAGATTGGTGCCAACTGCTTGTCCATTGTGCCCGCATTCTGGCAACATTATTTGACGGCAAACTGATGCCAGAAACAAAGCAGATCCTGACGTACACAGTCTGGCGGCAGATTAACGGCAGAAATACCACAGATTCTGCAGTGCGCAGTCTGGCACCAGAATGACGGCAGAAACAGATAACAGATCTTGCTGTTCACAACCTGACAGCAGACTGGTGATAGAAATACAACAGATTCTGCCATATTCATTTTTACATCCCCCCTCCCCCCTTCCCATTCAGTCATGCACATTACATGAAAGTAATTATTAAAAAAAAATACAATATACGAACGTAATTGTTTTTATTTATCACACAAGACAAAACGAGACAGCCAATCAGATTCACAATGGTATTTACCGTAAATGGCGGAACACGAAGGCGACGATGTTTCTTCTCATAGCCTCAGGAAGTGACGACATACGGTGACTTCGATGTTGGAGTAACTGATGAAAGGGTTTGTGAACGATGAAATGGCAATTTGATGCGATATCTGTATATATATATATTATATCTATATATTATATCTATATATTATACATAATTGTAGTTAGAAAGATGCAACTGTAATATAATTTCAATTTACAGATATCGCATCAAATTGCCATTTCATCGTTCACAAACCCTTTCATCAGTTACTCCAACATCGAAGTCACCGTATGTCGTCACTTCCTGAGGCTATGAGAAGAAACATCGTCGCCTTCGTGTTCCGCCATTTACGGTAAACACCATTGTGAATCTGATTGGCTGTCTCGTTTTGTCTTGTGTGATAAATAAAAACAATTACGTTCGTATATTGTATTTTTTTTTAATAATTACTTTCATGTAATGTGCATGACTGAATGGGAAGGGGGGAGGGGGGATGTAAAAATGAATATGGCAGAATCTGTTGTATTTCTATCACCAGTCTGCTGTCAGGTTGTGAACAGCAAGATCTGTTATCTGTTTCTGCCGTCATTCTGGTGCCAGACTGCGCACTGCAGAATCTGTGGTATTTCTGCCGTTAATCTGCCGCCAGACTGTGTACGTCAGGATCTGCTTTGTTTCTGGCATCAGTTTGCCGTCAAATAATGTTGCCAGACTCTGCCGTCAGAATGCGGGCACAATGGACAAGCAGTTGGCACCAATCTGCTGTAAACCTCTCATTCATTCTGCCGTCAGTTTGCCGTCAGTCTGCTGAAATATTGCTATTAGGGTCGCTAACTATTCGTCGAAAGAAAAAATAGTATTAGACTTTTTTACTTTATTTACTATCAAGAATATATTGTTATAATAGTGCCCTAACTTTTGTTAACTTATAGACTTTTGGAAATTTCAGAATTATTACATTAAGAAAAGCTAGGACATTATTATAGTAATATATTCTTGATTATAGTAATATATTCTTGATAGTAAATAAAGTAAAAAAGTCTAATACTATTTTTTCTGTCGACGAATAGTTAGCGAGATATCGTAAGTTAAATGTTGAAAAAGTTACCAAGTTTCCCTTAAATATTTCTAAAAAATATTAGGCAAATAAAAAAATGTTTCAGACAAAAGTTATTCAAATTAATTGGTAGAAAAAGAAGATATAATAAAAAATTAGGCTTTCAACTTAAAAAAATTAAGTTGATCTTCAACCAACTTTGAAAATGCCTTCCAAATAAAAGAATAATAATGCCATTCTCTTTCCCCTTCGAAATCATGGAACACGTGTTTTAGCTTTTTTTAATATCTTTCACAGATTTCTAGATTTCTTACCTGTTACGTTTGAAATTTAGCACCCTATATATACACCATATTTACAAAATCGGTCCTGAAATATAAGAAATAAAAATAAATTCATTAATAAACTTCTAATATTACAACAATTTTAATGGTTCCTACAGTTACTTGTAGGAGTTAACAGTTAACAGTTACCTGTTGTTGTCTCGTACCTGTTGTTGTCCCGTACAGTCGCTTATAATATATATATGTGTTAATAATCAAAACCCTGCTTTATAGTGACGTTAGAAATAATACAAGGAATACAGCCGAACAATTTGATGGTGATATATTACATTAACGAGACAATATTTCTCATGTTCCAAAATTGTACGTGACATACTGCAATGCCTGGTACAGTCTTTTATATACGATAAATGTTAGGCGGCCTGATTGCGAAATCTGGCTTTGTAAAGACCTCGGGGATAGATCGAGGAATAGATTATAACAATTTGGTGCTGTTATATGACAGCAACGAGGCAAAATATTTTTTCTTGTAAGATGGTATTTCGCGGGACTCGCTGCGATGTTTCGTACGACACACGCTTTATTAATATATGATAAATTTTTGACGGCCGGAATGTAAAATCTGGCTCTGTAGGGACCTCGATAATAGTTCAAGGAATATTCCATATCAATTTGGTGGTTATATATTTCGTCAACGTGACAAAATATCTTATACTTTACTGAAGTACATACATAGGCATATAGCACTGTCATATAATAATGCTAATGCATTGCTCGCGCGAACGCAAGGCAGGAAGGTTAGGTCATATAGACTGCACCATAGTGCAGCTAGGCTGCACTTTCCGTGTATTTTTCCGTGTAGCATACACTTTCCATGTATTTTTCCGTGTAGCATATTTTGCCATGCAGACATCATATTTGCTTATCAGACTTACATAGGCATCTTCCTTATATTAGTATCTAGATCGGTACAGAGCCTGATTTTGCATTTAGGTTCTTGAAAATTTGTAATAAATGGAAATATAGGCTTGTGCTGCACCGCGGGATGCACTTTCATTCAAAATTTTTATTCGATTTTTATTCAGACCTTTTTTCCAAAAAAGCGCTCTGTACGAGCATGCGGACGTTTCTCCTGATTACAAATATCATACATATAAGGTGATTCTCTTCGTATTTTGTTCATAATTTGCAATATAATTTTGCCTAGTTCGCGGGTCTCCGCAAGAGGTCTCTAGTAGGCTCCTGTAGACCCTTAAGTTTATCTTCAGATGGTTTGTAGTCAATAAAATAATCTGTGCAGCATCTAAAGATGAATATAAGGAGACCTCAAATATAAGACCTGACTATGAATACGGGTATAAAAGTCGCCCATGACCCCTCTCCTTCTTCTCTCTGTTAATAATTCTTATCATATTCACAATTTTTATTATATTCAGAAAAACAACAAAATATAAACAAAATAATAAGAATATAATGCCAGCGGCACACAGTGCTTGTTTTCGTGCTGGATGAAAATACTGCGTTCTGATTGGTACATTTTCGAAGATGGATGGAAATACACCAATCAGAACGTATTATTTTCATCCAGCAAACAATTCAGTACGAAAACAAGCACCGTGTGCCGCTGGCTTAACAAAAAACATCGGGAGTATTTCAAAATATTTCATCACGTATTTTTCCAAATTTTCCTTTCTATATTCTTCACCACATAGCGCCATCTTCACTCGGAGCCGTGGGCGCTGGAGAGACGCTTGTGGCGCTCGCGTCAGTATTCAGTCAGCAATCGTCTTGCGAGTTAGAGTGTTCTCTGATCTGTGTCTATCTTGTGTCAGCTAATTTGAGCAGCCACAATTCTCCGCGTCACGAATTCGCGAATAACGGCAGTAAACGCTAATTGACAGCCCCCAAACACCCGTTGACTGATACGTCGCAGGCCACATCGAGCGAAAGGCAACAGAAGGCCGGCTCGATCGACCGCTCTCTATCTGTCTTTCTCGTGCTCACTCGTGACGCCGACTGTGATCGACTCCAGCGTAGCGCACGCACACGCACGTATACACATCGAACTGCAGCAGAATCGCTCCGAAACAGGAGACCCGTCTGTAATCCCGACTCGAGCTGCAGGCAGCCGTGCGCGGCCGTTGGATTTTCACGCTATAAGGCGGCCGTCCAGCAGGGCGATACCATTTTATATGACTTTACTTCGACGACGACGAGGTAAGTCGAGCTCTCTCTCTCTCTCTCTCTCTCTCTCTCTCTCTATATATATATATATATATATATATATATGTGTGTGTGTGTGTGTGTGTGTGGTGTTGTGTGGTGTATGTAATGTATGATATACGCACGCGCGTGCATGTATGTATATACATATACTTTCTCTCTCTATAATAGTGTTTTTCTCTATGCATATTTCTCCTGTTTCGTTTTTCTCTCAGCATCTCTTTTTATATGATGTGAACATATATATATTTATCCATGTTGCTTGCTCTCGTACGCTAATTTTAGCAACCAGCCATTTTGGATACACGACACGATGGTATGCATGCGAGGCAGGCGAGACGGGTGAAGTGAGATGGGCGGGGCGGGACGTCCCATCGTGCCTGCGGAAATGAACGTGTTCCTCTCTCGCTCTCTTTCTTCGTTCAGCGACGTCGACGACAATGTCTCGCGTGTGTCGCGATGCGTCACCACTGTGCGTTGCAAATGCTCTCGTTGCCGGTCAATGTTGACTCGGTAATCGACAGACATGGTCCCCTAGGTCGTACGTTGTCTCTCTCTCGCGTATATTTCCTGTTTTTTTTATCTTCCTCCTTCATATTGATACCGGTACTGATTGGTACCGGTACTATACGAGCGACGTATCTTGGAATATAAGAATAAAAAAATAATTAACGTGTAAACATATGTCGAAATGATATATGTGACGACGTTTCAACTGCGTCGATTAACTTTCTCAGAAGTAAAATTTATTAAAATCAGAAAAGAGAATGATTTATATGATCGAATAGAAATTGAAAAAGTCCAAACCGGAGAATGATTTAATTTTAAAGTGACAAATATGACATCTGTAAATCATGGAACCATGGAAAATCATTTCTCTTCCCTTCTATGACATCTTGCGGCTTCGCAACAGTTCATTAGAATTTTGTCGACAGTTTTTTATTTGAATTGAAACAGGACATTTGAACGTACATACACGTGTTGGTATTCCTGAAAAGATTAACCGACATTTTAGTGATTGAGAGCGGAATTTACAGATTTCTCGACTGCGATATGTTTGCGAATTCTAATCGTGCGTAACAAAATCTTACTAGCTATTCAAACTATTCCAACAGGTATCGTGACTAATGTATTCGCAATAATGGAAACAGCTTAGAACGATCCGAAACTTGATAGCCACAGCTCAGAGCCGCTGTTTCCATTGAAATATGAAGCGACAATTGTGATAAACTGATCGCTGACCGAGGGCGACCGTTATATGTATAAACATCTATACAAACGACTTACATAGTCGTTTTTTATTATTTTTGCGTGAAAAGCATTTTTCGTAACTGATTTTGGTAGCGATGTTTACAGAATAAGTCCGATGTTTATACGAGAGTTGCACATATAGCTTAAAATTCGTGTGACTTCAATTTATACATTTTAATCGCATTATTCGATCGTGTCACGTTTACGAAAGAATCGGCGAGTCTCGCATATCACAATTTCTCATCTTAAGATTGAATTGAATTTTGCTCTTTATATCTGTTCTTTTTCGAAGAACTTTTGAATTAGTGCACATTAGTACAATAAGTTCGAATGAAAGAAAATATATTTGTTTCACTCCAATTTATTTAGTTTAGAAGTCCTTTGAAAAAGAATCTTTTGCAAATACTCTGCATTATCTTATATTTTCCTTTTTCATTGTTTTATCATATATCAAATATGCATCTACTTCATTTCAGATCCATCCTTTTCTATTGAATTGAGTTGTATTCTTTACCATTGGAATGAAACTAATATGCTTCAAAAAGAATGAAGTTCCAATGCAGCACTAAGCTAAAAGCAATAAGCTTTTTAAAGTGCAATAATAATGCAAGTTGTCGTATACCTATAAGGGATGGGTCTTTTAAGCCCAGTCTGCAATAGGTGTAGTAAACTTTTAGTTATTTATTTTAAGGCATAATTGCACCAACATTATTTTAGTTTTAAGTGAGATAAACATAAGCCTATCTTTATTTTTCTAAATAAATAAAGACACATATTTAAGTCTCGCTTAAAATCAGAGTAATGGTGTAACCGAACTTATAACCTATAACATTTCCATGTTACGTTAATAGTTAGTGCAATCATGCCTTCCTTGCTTAATGCTTAAGGATTAGGACCTCGGACAGCAGCGAGAGACGCTTTTAGGCGAAAATTAAATCACAATTTTGAACTGGAAAATTAAATCACAATTTTTATTTGGAATATAAAGTCAGAGGCTTACTAGTACATTTACTGGTAATCGGAATTTCATCTTGAAATGACACACGACTGAGGGACGATGATGAATATAATTTAGCAACTTGTGCGTATAGACTCGAAAAGTCGAAGCATGAGAGACAGGGAGAGGAGGGGTTCTAGCAACGTAAAGTATCAAAGTCACGTGATTCGACGAGAAGTTGAGAAATTTCTGAGAACATTTTTATCCTCTAACGATTTTGTTCTCGTAATGTACTTGTCATCGATCATTTGTTTATCTTACGTCATGTTTTCAGCTACTGAAAATTATACTCAGAGAAGCATACACTTTTCGAAGAATCCTAAGATAACTGAAGGATCGACGAAAATTCGCAACACGCTCGTGGGGAATCATCTTGAAAGAGTTGGATCCGAGATCGTATATTCTGGATGTATATAGCAAACGCTAAATATGTCTTTTTCTCGTCTTCAATACTTTGACAATCTCTGTCATGTATATGTGACTTCAGTCTGCCAGCAATTATCGTCTTAAAAAAAACATTTCGCGGTGAAAAAGATTGGCCGACAGGAGCCATTTGCTTATCGGGTAAGATAATCTAATTTAACAGCGGCAGGACAAATTATTAAATTATTGTATCCATACACCATAGGTAATGAATGGCTCTTGTTAATTTACCATTCCGAATATGATAAACTTTGGAACATTCGAAGTATATGGGAAGAAAACATTTGTTGATATTAAAATTCTGTTTTGATCAAAAACGTAAATAAGCCCAATTTAGGTACAAAATTCCCGCCGGCTGTAGGCAACAATCTTCCCACCACACCAATGCGACCGTCCAAGTGTCAAACAACCTTATACATGACACTCATGTAAGAAACCTGGAACTTGGAATTAGAAAGCCTTTAGCGTTCGCTTCGCGTCCAGAATAAGGCCCCGAGATAGTAGTTTCTTTCGCGAGGAAAGTTGCAGCGCGCATATGCCCAGTCTAATCAGTAGCTGAAAAGTTATATTTTCTTTTTCTTCTTCGACGAATTCCGTAACATATTTGTGTCCAATAGAAGAAGAGAAGAATGTTTCTCAGTAATCATTGGGAGATAAATTTTCCTCTTGAATATTGGATGGCATTCCGAGGTTCGCCAAGATAAAAGTACCACGACCGTCACATGCGAACTGACACGGTCTGTAACGTTGAACTTCACTTGCATGTATTCTCGCGACGATAAAAAAGATCTCGAACACGTCATTTGCATATTATGCAAATTACGAACAGTTGCGTCATCTAATGGTAAATGATTGCTCCAATACACAGCTCGATGACAGTTACATGTATGTCGACGAAATTGTATTGCATGGAGAATCTGAAGAGTCGATTGGATCACATTGAATTATCATGTCGTGCGTGTTTTCCTCGAAACTGTATTTGCAACAGCAAACTTTCGATGGTAATTCGCGCCGACTGGTCGATATACGCCGCGATTAAATTGCGCAATATAAATAGCATTTGGGCAGATAGTTCGCCAATGAAATCTTTGTCTACATGTGTCTTCGCGACTTTTCTAACCGTTGTGTTTTTTGATCGAGGTATATCGTGCGGCGTATTGATCCACAATAATTGTCGCGACCGTCGGATGTAAATACTTTCTCGTGTTTCTGTTTTACAGACCGATGTAACTGAAACTTTCGCGATCGCGATATCATTGTACGATCACCGTGTGTGTGTGTGTGTGTGTGTGTGTGCGTGTGCGTGTGCGTGTGCGTGTGCGTGTGCGTGCGTGTGTGTGTGTGTGTGTGTGCGTGCGTGCGTGTGTGTGTGTGTGTGTGTGTGTGTGTGTGTGTGTGTGTGTGTGTGCGTGCGTGCGTGCGTGCGTGCGTGTGTGCGTGCGTGCGTGTGCGTGCGTGCGTGCGTGTGTGCGTGCGGGTGCGTGTGCGTGCGTGCGTGCGCGCGTGTGCGTGAGTGCGTGCGTGCGTGCGTACGTGATCTACACACACACACACACACAAGAGGTGTAAATCCGATCGTGCAACCTCCACGCGGTACACCTTGGGTAATGCTAATGCCGACGGTACTGTAACTTTGAAGCTTTATAACTCGGGATGTACTGAACAAAAAAATACTTTGTTGTAGTGTTTTGGAAAGCTCTTGAAATACGTTATAAGAATATGCCAAAAAAAGTAGGGCGTTCTATTTGAAAAGTTTAAGGTGACTTTGCCCTGACCTTGTTGACGCTAGCCAAGGTCAAACTGATAAGATCAAGTAAATAGATCATTTTAAACCTTACAACTTTTGCCTTTAACATTTTTTCCAAAAACTGATTGTTTTGGAGATATTTTATCGTTCAAAGACTTTTTGAGAACCCTGTGTTCGAACGAATCAGAATATATTTAGTCTCAAGAATATATTGTTAAATAGTGCCCTAACTTTTGTTAACTTATCGACCTGTGGTCATTTCAAAATCATCAAATTAACAAAAATTAAGGCACTATTGTAATAATATATTTTTGAAACCAACTAGAGTAAAAATGTCTAGTACTGTTTTTTCTTCCGACAAATAGCGAGACAAACACGACAAATAATGTCGTGAGTTAAATATTGAAAAAAATCATCAAGTTTTTCTTAAATATCTCAAAAAATATTAAGCAAATAAAAAAAATGTTTCAAACAAAAGTTGTTCAAATTAATTGGTAGAAAAAGATGATATAATAGAAAATTGGAATTTCCATTTAAGAAAAGTAATGATCAGTGAATATCTCAAAAGCGACGCCACCTGTAAACAAAATAATATAGTTGTTTTATGTCTCGTTTGAAACCATACAACTTTTGTCCAAAATGTTTGTTACTATCTTTAATATTTTTCGAGATTTTTGCCTGGCTCATTTAAAATGGGACACCGTATAATACATATGTATATATATGTATATATTACGACGATCACATATTTCATCACATATTTAAAAATCTTTGAAATTTGCCTCCGATGATAATCTATTTCTCGCTGAGAGACTCTTACTGAGAGGTGTAACCATTTCTCTCCCCCCTTCTCTTTTTTTCTTTTTCGGAGAACGTTGGGACTTGGAAAAATAGAAGTCAGGTTTAGAGAAACGGTGCGATTAACTAAATCTTTCTTCTTTGTTCGACTAACGTTTGCGCTGGTTTTTACGTTTATCTCCAAGATGGCCTGCTTTGACCCTTAAGTGTGCATGGCGACGGCGGTAGCTCGATAACGATGCAAAATAATACCTCTTAATCAGCACGACAGTGGTTCTCAAATCGCTCGTCCGGTTCGCCCGCGCGCGACGTTTGAAATTCCACGCCGTAACTCGATTCTCGGCGAACGATAACTCCTTGGAATTCATCTACACCATTTGTTTATTCATAAACGTGCATTCGAACATACGCACATTGCGGCTTGGAGAGAAATTTGATGCGATCAGGGGACTAAATATCTCGGAGCTGCGATTGTCCTTTCGATCTCAGCGATGAAGTAACATTATATCGCTGCTTGCTCTCGCGCTCACTTTCTTCGAATCCAAATTGCGATCAAGTGCGCTAACGCGAGAATACATGGCGAACAGGTTTTGCCGGGTTTCCTCGAGGAAAATAAAATTTATCGGTAATCGCAACGCGATGTAAAAATCAAGTTTTCTTGGATGACGGTCTTCATCGTTTTCTAACTCAAGTTAAACTTGGAAAGTAAGATTGTAAAAGAGACGTTTACACTATCTGTTATGTGTGTGTTAATTTATTCCTATTATTAAGTTTAATTTATTGTTACTAAATTTCTTGCTTGTTCACAGCGGCATATTGATTTATAAAATTGATTTATAAAATCGGAAGCGAGAAAACACATTTCTTTGCAAAAGATGATGGAATAGAAAGATATGTTCATAAAAATGACATATTTGTATTTGATCAAACAGACATGTAAAATAGTCCCATAACTTTATTTTTTGTTCTAATGATCAATAATCAGAGGTAAAAGTTAACATTACTGAATCAGAAAGAATATCGAAGAAAAGATAGATTGAGAATGTAGGTTGCATGTCAATTTTATATTAAATTTACGTGAATGTATGTGAACATGTGTGTTACGAAAACTGTATGTTAATTTTATGGGAATTAGTTTATCGTTTATTATAGCAGAAGAAAAATCTACGGACTATTTTACAGATCTGCTCGACCGACTATATATCATTTTATATTTTTATATTTTTATTTCGCACATAATTCGTAAAAGTTTCAGTCTTCTATCAGTATTCTCTCGCTTCTGACGTCATCAATCAAGAGTTCCTTAGTAAGAGATCAGCAGTCTGAAGGATACTCTTAAGTAATCAAATAATAATAAGACTCTTATTTTTATCAGTTTCTACTTGTGATGTATATAAATGGCCAAACTTTAAGAGCATATTCTACTCATTGTAAAGATGAAAAAAGATCATATAAACATATGATCCATACATATGGTCCATACACACACAGAGAAACACTTCTTTTCCAAGTTATAAATACTTTTTATTTATGACAGATTTTGGCAAGAATATTTTATTAAAGAAATTGTTGGAAATAATTTTCTTCCGCATCAATGCATTCTTCGCATCGACATCTCATGGATTGCCGAAGACGTTAAAAAATTTTTAGAGTATTTTGTATTTTATCACACGAAACGATAACACGATTTCGGAGTACTTTCGTAGTAGCAACAGGAGGAATTTCATAAATGAAAAAAGAATTTTCCATAAAAATCCAAGGGGTTCAAATCGGAAGATTGTGCAGGCCAAGTAATAGGTTTTCTTTCGCTAATCCATCCAGCATTGATATAATTATTATTCAAAAACTCTCAAGCAATGTGCGACTGAAATGTTCTGGAGATATATTTGATAAAAAGTATTTATAACTTGGAAAAGAAATGTTTCTTTATATGTTTGTATGTTCCATTGTTTAAATTGTCTTTTTTTATTCTTACAGTGAGTAAAATATATTCTTAAAGTTTGGTCGCCTATTTCTGAAACACCCTGTATAATATATAAACAATATTTTTATTTTGGCCAAGATATTCAAAGCTTCTTATTATCGAATAAAAATCATCGAATAAAAAATAAAAATTTCGCCTATAGACTTCTAAATGCATTTTATTTTTAAATGCTTGATTACTTACGGATTGATTACCCAGATATTTTATTTCAGTCGTGAAATGTATTTACGAATTCTGAAATTGGATGCCGAGGAGAGAAACGTTGTTCTGGAATCATGTTTTATTATCCGAATTATTGTCCGTTTTATTAGAATTTGGATACTCGTAATATCGGCGGTCGATAATTTGAGGACCCTGAGTCCTCGAATCCGAACTATCGGAATTCCGTTCGTGACCATCTCCATCGGTCGCCGGCTACTCGACTTGAGAAGGAGAATCGCGAGTAAACGTGTGACCTTGTCCGAAGACAGCCAGCTAGCGCGTCAATTGCTCCCTCATCTCTTTCTCCCTTCTCTGTTTTCCTCCCTTCTCCCCTCTCTTCTCCCCTCTCTTCCACGGTATCTTGTGTAAACTCCCGGCACCAGATATACCTTTGCGACTGAAAATCAGCTGCCATCACGGGCCGGGCAAGCTATATCGTGACGTGTTTGATAATTCGACAACGAGAAACGCTCCACGCGAGGCTCAAAAGACGAAAGGTTAGAAAATAACCAACAGAAACTGGAAGCAAATATCTCTAATGTAAATGCGACGCGTCTGATTTGGAAATGTGCCATTTATCGAAGCTAATTGTCAAAGCACACACTTGACGCTGTAGAATGGACTGTTTTAATACTATCCACAGTCTGCGAAATGTTGTAAGATACAAAAATTTTTGTACTTTCTTTTGTTGTTCCATCGACAAAAAAACTTTCGTGAAAAATGTGCGTTAAGAACGACTCAATAGATTCTAATTAAGTTAATCGGTGATTAAGTCAGCTGGCAGTGTGCTGCCAACATGGAAAATAAAAGACGATTTGTTATTAAAAGGAGTAAGAAATTTCTCTTGGTCTCTCTCCTTTTATAACCTACATTTAAAATTGCTGTCAATCGACTGTCAACTACTTTATAATTTTGCTATAATGTACAGAATTTATAAATTTCTTTTTTACCGTCGGGTATCAAATTACATAGCTAGAAATTACTGATAATTTTGTCGGTTAACTATTGATAACTTTAACTTATCGAATGACGTAAAGCTAAAGGTAGTGACTATGGGAGCGTTCAGAAAAAACCGCTCAGTGAGCGATTAGTAACTATTGGTCCTTACAATTAGATCCTTACATTCAGACCAATAACATTGACGAATTACTCAACAGTTGCACAACTGTTGAGTGTCGTGAACGCACCCTATGACACTATGATATTATCATGTTTTACCAAGTTAGCGCATAAAATATAATTGTATTTAAAAATTCAATTATTGCATTGCCAACGGAGAGTTGATGAAGAGTGAAGTGAAAGATATACGCGTGTCTCATTTACTATGTTTTGGCTAATTTAATCATTAATTACTTTATTACATTAACTTTCGGATACAATCAACGCGGCAATTAACGCGATAAGCTAATCGACGATTAACTTAAACAGCAGATATGGAAAATGAAAAACAGTTTATGTCATTGAAACAAGTAAAAACATTATCTTGTTTTCTTTAACAGTTGTAAAATTGCTGTCAAAATTTTGACAGTTCCATTT